AGAGAGAGAGAGAGAGAGAGAGAGAGAGAGAGGACGAGAAAAAGGTTGAGCGATACAAGATTGGCTTACCACGTACCTGCGTTGAAGACATCGCTACGGCGAGAGAGAGAGAGAGAGGGAGAGAGAGAGATGAGCGATACAAGTTTGGTTGTCACGTACCTGTGAAGTGTGCCGTGCAGTTCCACGAGGAAGAAGGCGGCGGCCATAGCCGCGGAGCTCGACCACAGAGAAACGAAGGAGGGTGAAAGAGAGGACAGAGGAGGAGACCGAGCAGAGTGAAGGAAGCCATAGCCGAGGAGGTGAAGGAGAGACGAAAAAAAAAAGAAAGAGAGAGAAGATATCCGGGGTGAAGAGGAAGGAGGCGAGGTAGGGAGAAGGAGAAGGGTGGTGAGGAAGGAAAAGCCGACCGCCATAGCCGGAGCTGAACGGAGGAGTTGACCGGGCGTTCACCGGGAGTTGACCGGGCGTTGACCGGAGTTGACCAGGAGTTGACCGGGGGTTGACTGCAGCGTTGACCAAGCGTTGACCAAGCGTTGACCAAGCGTTGACCAAGCATTGACCAAACGTTGACCAAGCGTTGACCCAGGCATTGACCAAGACTGTTGACCACGATTTTGACCAAGCTGAAGCCGGTATAATCTCGCCAAGCCTTCAGCATATCCCCTTGCCCTATGAATGTGCACACACCCTGTGGTACTTGTTGAGTCAAGTCTATCTGTCTCTTCTTTCTGCATTGAGTCTCTTCTGTCCAGGTGATAGGAACTCTGTTGATGAAGGATAGGGCCTTGTTGACCAAACCCACACGGGCTGAGTAGGGCTAAAGACTGTGCTTGACGACTCGACTGTCCCGGAGGACACGAACCCTCCCAAGGACCGGTACTGACTGGCGGGCTGCTCGGTGTGGCACGGTATCCCAGCTGTGGGCTGCACAACAGGCAGTCTAAGTCTTGAGAAGACCTGCTGATCGCGTCGTCCTGTCTGTGACGTTAAATAATTCCTGAGGAGTTACGGGGGATCTCCTTAAATGCCTCCTGATCAGCAACAGGTCTTGTAGTGACAACCTTAGAGTAGGTCTAGGCTAGAAATCCTAGTTGACAGGATCCTGTCCGGATTCTGTAAGTAGGTTTGTCAGTTAGGGGGAGTAGAGTCTAAGTGGTGAGGAGTGGAACCGGTTGTGCACCAGACACCATGGTTGACACCCGTAGTGGGAAGAGTACTGCCCCCCAATCCGAGGCCGAGCAGGCCCGGATCGCCGCCCTCCTGAGAGAGAGAAAAGAGAAGAAAGAGCTCCTCAAGCAAGCGAAGCTAAAGGCTATAGCAGAGGAGCAGGCGGCGAAGAAGAAGAAGCTAGAAGAAGAGATGTTAAGATTCCAGAAGGAGAAGATGATGATGTTACAGCAGGAGGAGGAAGAGAAGAGGAAGGCTGAAGAAGAAGCAGCAGCAGAGGAAGAGGTGGAAGTAGAAGAAGAACCCCTTGAAAGGAGGCGAGGGGGAGACAGGGGAGAAACAAGTGGCACGAAGGAGGAGGACAAATGGATGGAGAAGAAGATCAGCGAGTGGGTGGCTAACTTATCGTTGGGAGAGGATGAGGAGGCACTATTGTATGTGCCGCAGGAGGAGAGGGAAGTGTTCGCCAGGGAGTTGGAAGTGATAGGGGATCCCCTGGAACGCCAGACAACAGAGGACGAGAAAAAGTTGGAGTGGAAGTTACGTATGATGAGGGAGAAGAAGAGAAAGGAGGGAGGAAGCCAACCGGGTGGCTAGAGAAGTGGAAAGAGTTCGGGCATGCAGACAGGAAGTGCAGGTCCAAGCAGAGACCCCCGCGAAGCTAGATAAGATTATGGGGTATCTAGAGGTTCTGAGTGAGGCCGGGCTTGAGGAGCATCAGGCCAACAAGGGTCACGATGTGACCCTGCATGCCATTCGGTCCGGCTTTAGAGAGTTTGCGCGTGACGTGGTAACCCACGTCAGGACCGAGGTCAAGAGACTAAAGGAAAGCACAAAGAAGTTTTGTGCAGGCGCCATTGAAGGCGCCAAAGTCGTGGCCACAGCAGAGGCCGCAGCGCGTCCCCGCAAAGAGCCGGTAAAACTCAAATTCCCTGATGCTTAGAGCGGGAAAAAAGGAGGAGAATTTCGATAATTGGGAGGCTAGCGTCAATACGTACATGTTTTTGCAGCATATCGGCCCCGAGGAGCAGGTCCTCGTCGCCTTCCATGCGTTAAGGGACGAAGTGGCTAGATTCGCCAGGTCCCTTGCGCGCGCCATCGATTGCGAGCATAATATGATTGCTTATTCTAGGCTTACCCCTCTCTCCACGTTTCTCAAACTCCTGCGTGAGAGGTTCGCTGACGTCACGAGGGGCGTCAAGGCCTCTGACAAGCTCCAAACCATCCACTCGCGACAGTGGAGGAGTGCGAGAGCACTCAAAGCTGTCATGGACGACTTGGTAGCCGTCCCAGACCATGGGGTCACTGAGACCCAGTTGGTCCAATTGTTCTACCGTGCCATGCCAGAGCCCTTACGAGGGCACTTCTTTGACAAGACCCAACAGCTCAGTATCACATATGATGCGTTGAGTCGCGAAGTGGTCCTGTTCGAGGCCAAGTCCATGCCGATTTCCACTTTCTCGCGCAAGGACTTAGACAAGGGCAAAAAGTGGAAAGGTTGTAACATCTTTGGCCAAGTTAGGGCCAAGGATCATTTGATCCTTACCTTAGATGAAGGTGGTACTGATGAGGTCCCCTACAGTCAAATCGAGTGGGGACTTGAGGAGGAGGACAGCAGTGTAGGTCAAGGGAGGTCCTATGCAGCTGTCGCGGTTGGAGGGAGGCCGCAAAGTAGAGGAGGAGGCCAGGGCCAAAGGGGCCAGGCCACGGGAGGCCGAGGATCGGGCGCACAGGGGGTTGGCGGTCAAGGGAACCGTCAAGTGGGAGGTAGGGGTCAAGGTCCCCCGCCAAATCGTCAAGGTCCTAGTCGGTCCCCGCAGCGACGAGGTGGAGGATCACCTCAAAGGAGAGGAGGTTGGCACCCAGGTTGGCCACAAGGTCGGCCTTGGGAAGATCTGGGCCTGGACCAGAGAGTATGGCACCAACATATGGACCAGGGGCAGTGCGTATATTGCGGTGACTCGGCCCATATAATTAAATATTGTCCTAAGTATAGATAGGCCCGATGGGCTGCCCGGGAGTCAAAAGGCAGCCGTCGGTAGGGGTTGCAACTGCCCCTACTATTAGGCCATGTGGGGAAGCAAGCGCGCTCGTACAGGAAACTCCCACACCACATGTGCCTTCGGCAGAGGTTGCACGCCCGTGCCTAGTTAGCTGTCCAGAGACTGCTTGTGTCAGCGTCTCTCTAGGCACTTCCCTCACAGGCGTGGCAGAAGAGTTGAAGGAGAGAATGCCAGCCTGGGCCAAAATGAAGAAAGATAGTAAAGGGCAACCAGTGTTAGTTGATGTAGAGGTTTTCAGAAGTAGAGTAGGGGCCCTTATAGATTCAGGGGCTACCCGTAGCTATATTAGCCGTACAGCGCTGAAGAAGCTGAGGCTAGGATTAAAAGTCCAAAAGTTAGAAGACCCCATAGTTAGTGTCCTCACAAACAACCGCACTATGCATGTTGAGGACTATGTAGAGGGAGTCCAGACGTATTTCCGCCTAGAGAAAGATGGGAAAGTGGAGAAAGTTCTCCATTCCCTAACTCTCCTCGTGCAGGATGATCTTCCTTTTGGTATAGTCCTAGGTATGGACTGGGGAGAGGCAGCAGGGGCCACACTTCATTTGAGAGAACATGAGTGTAGGCTCCCTAGTTCGTCAGGCGAGTGTCTAGAGTAGATAGCTCCTTGGCACATTGTTGTCTCAGTGCTCCCGCGTTCGCGCGCTTAGTAAGAAAGGAGCAACGAGAGGATCAGGTCTTTGTAGCTTACATTAGACCTGTCACTGAGCCTAAAGCAGAGGAGCCCATAGACCCAGCTATTGCCAAGCTGCTGGAAGAGTTCAAAGACTTAACTGAGCCGCCGACAGGAGTAGTGTCGCGGCCGATCCAGCACAGAATAGAGATAGAGCCTGGAAGTAGAACTCCTAAGGGAGCAGTCTACAGGATGTCCCCTATAGAGTTAGAGGAGCTGCGCAAGCAGTTGGATGAGCTCCTTGAGAAAGGTTGGATTAGGCCCAGTTCGTCTCCTTTTGGAGCACCAGATTTGTTCGTCCCCAAGAAGGAAGGAGAGTTGCGTATGTGTATAGATTATAGGGGTCTAAATGCAATTACAGTTAAGAACGCTGAACCACTGCCCAGGATAGACGATCTTTTAGATCGGGTGCAGGGGTGCAAATATTTTTCAAAGATAGACTTGAAGTCCGGATATCATCAGATAGAGGTCCATCCTGATGACCAGTACAAGACTGCATTCCGGACTAGATATGGGCATTATGAGTTCATAGTGATGCCCTTTGGACTGACCAATGCGCCAGATACATTTCAGCGATGTATGAATGATTTGTTTAGGCCTTGGTTAGCTAGATTTGTCGCAGTATACTTAGACGACATCTTAGTGTTCAGTAGGACCCTCCAAGAGCACCAGGGTCATTTGAGGCAGGTCTTGGAGAAGCTGAGAGAGGCTAACTTCAAGATCAACGCGAAGAAGTGCGAGTGGGCCAAGATACAGGTTTTGCACTTGGGCCATGTTTTAGACGGAGATGGCATTAAGCCTGAGGACAGTAAGATAGCTGCGATTAGGGATTGGCCGACGCCCCGCACGTTGACTAAGTTGTGGTCGTTCCTGGGCCTAACTAACTACTATAGGAAGTTCGTGAGGAACTTCTCAACTATCGCCGCTCCCCTTCGCAGGTTGCTCAAGAAAGAGGCAATCTGGCGGTGGGATAAAGATTGTATGTCTGCGCTAAAGAAGTTAAAGCGCGCATTGATAGAGTATCATGTCCTCAAAGTAGCAGATCCGTCTTTGCCATTTGTCGTCACCACGGATGCGAGTCAGTATGGTATAGGCGCCGTGTTACAGCAGGACGACGGCAATGGCTACAGACCCGTAGAGTTCATGTCAGCGAGGATGCCCTCAGAGAAGGTAGCCACCTCGACGTATGAGAGAGAACTCTACGCTCTCAGGCAGGCCTTAGAGCACTGGAAGCATTACCTGCTTCGGAGGCACTTCAAGGTGTATTCAGACCATGAGACGCTTAGATGGTTGAAGACACAGACCAAGATGACACCTAAGTTGACTAGGTGGGCCGCTGAGATAGACCAGTACGACTTCGATCTCAAGCCTGTTAAAGGCAAGTATAATGTAGTTCCGGATGCTCTGAGTAGGAGATCAGACTACTTTGGAGCCATAGTTCACTATCTGGACATAGGGAGTGACTTGCAGGAGAAAGTTAGACAGGTGTATGCGCAGGACCCTATCTATAGTGACCTCCTCAAGAGAGTCAAGGAGGCCCCAGAGACCAAACCAGACTACCGCACTACAGAGGGTCTGTTATTTGAGAAGACTAATGTAGGAGACCGCCTGTGCGTTCCCAACAGTGAGGAGATCCGTAGTTTGATCCTAGGGGAATGCCATGACACGACGGGCCGGTACCCCTCTCCATCGTTCTGCTGGAGTATGGCGCCAATTCCATATTGGCTTGCGTCAGTCGTGACAATGAACGGAAGAGATGGGTCTGCAACTTTCAAGACCAGGTACTCAATCAATGACTTCTTCAGTTTCTTGAAGGCTGAGGTACAATCTTTGTCCCAATTCCAAACTGTCTCCTTCCTCAGCAGTTTGCGCAATGGTGCAATTATCATGGTGAAGTTTCGTACGAATTTTCGCTAGTAATTGGTTGAGCCTAGGAACGACCGCAGTTCGGTCAACGTGTGCGGTGTTGGCAAATCCCTGATTGCTGCTATCTTCGCGTCTTCCGGTTTGACTCCATCCCCATCTAACACATGGCCTAAATATAGCACTTGACGCTTTGCCCATTCATACTTCTTCGGGTTCGGCTTGAACTTCGCAGTGCGCAACTTATCTAAAACCAATCGCAAATGTTGCTGGTGTTCCTCTGGAGTCTTACTAAATATCATAATATCGTCTATGTAAACGACTATGAATTTATCCAGCCATTTGCGAACGAGATCATTCATGCATCTTTGGAAGGTAGCAGGGGCATTCGTCAGACCAAACGGCATGACCACAAACTTGTAGTGGCCATAGTGAGTTCTAAAAGTCGTCTTGTGCCGGTCTTCGGGTTGTACCTCTATCTGATGGTAGCCCAACTTCAAGTCAATCTTGAAAAAATACTTGCATCACTGCAACCTATCCAACAAATCATCGATTATAGGCAAAGGTTCGACATTTTTCACCGTAATCGCATTCAAACCCATGTAGTCGATCCACATGCGCAGTTCGTCCTCTTTTTTAGGCACGAACAGGACCAGTGCGCCGTACGGTAAGGAGCTGGGTTTAATCCACCCCTTTTCTATCAATTCATCAAGCTGCATGCGTAGCTCATTGAGTTCTTTGGGAGACATTCGATAAATGGGCCCCTTGAGAGTCTTGCTACCGGGCTCTGTCTCTATCTGATGCTTGATTTCCCTTTCCACTACTCCCGTCGGGTTTTCTCCCACATCAGCAAACTATTTTAACAGTTGTTCAACTGCGGGTGGTGTAGGCTCCTCCTCCTTGTTGCCCTTAGTAACCGGTCTAACATACGCTACGAAGACTTGGTCAATCAAATTAGCCTTGACCACATGCCTGGCGAACGCAGGGGCACTCATACAGCAAAGGGACAGACTGGACTCTACGCCGGATTCATGAAACAGCCGCATTTTCTTTTCGACTCCTTCAGGGCTGGGCAGCCAGCACTCGTGCTCGCCCATCTTTACATCATCCCTTGCAGCCTCTCCCCAATCTGTCGCTAGAATCAAGTCGAAAGGTAGGTTTTCCTCCACTATGAGGGTTAGGGAGTCCAACCGAAAGTATGCCCTCACCCCTTCGACGTACTCTTCTACTCTCATTTCACTATTGTCTGCCAGCCTACTCACGACCAGCTCGTCCAATTTTAAAACCTTCATGCCGAGGTGCATCTTTTCCAGTCCCCTTCCGCTAATGTAACTACGCGTAGATCCACTATCAACTAATACGCCTACTCGCTCTCTACAAATCTCTACATCTACTAATATTAGTTGCCTTTTACTCTTCTTCTTCATTTCGGCCCAAGCTTGGCGACGAGTGATCAGCTCATCACCGATGCTTGCGAGGGAACCACCCTGAGAGACCCTAGCACAAGCGGTCTCTGGACAACTAACTGGGTGGGGCCCTACATCAGCCTCTACAATAGGGGCCTTTAGACAGGAGGGTGTATGTTCAACGCGCACTTTTGTCTGTCTGTCTGTGTCTGAAGGCCCAGCAGGAGCAATTGCGACTCGTACTGGCTGCTCCCTTTTGGGTACCTGTAGTCAGAGCAAAAACAGACAATGTGGTTGGGATCACCATATTTTAGGCACTGGTCGGCCTTAAGCCTTTGCTCCCATAACGTTTTCTCAATGCCCATCTCTTTCCATGGCTCTCTGTCTGCAATCCCTGGATGTGTTGGTCATGGTCTGCGCCCTCTACCTCTTCCACCTGTGGAGGAGGAACCGCCCCCACCTTGCGGGGAACCATAACCCTTACCTCCCGCGTAATAGCTACCTTCGCTACTACTCCCCTAGGTGCCACGTCCTCTTCCTCCACCTCTTCCTCGGCCTCCTCTTCCTCCTTGCCGCGCTCCCCCATGGCCTGCAACAGCCGAATAGTCCCCTCCCTAGGCTACTTGGTTGCAGTTGGGCTCTTCCAGTCAGTAATCTATATTTTCATAGGGTAGTGCTTCAAATCCCCCTCCCTCAAACGTGACTAGAAGACTGTCCTTCCCTTCTATACTACCTGCTATAGTGTTATTATTTCATCGCCCTCTCTGCAGGTCCTTCCAATAATGGCAATAATTGGCCTCCATCAGGAAACCAGCCTGGTCTACGGCGATCTTACTAGACTTCTTCTAAGTCATGCCGTCCTCTTTTGTACGGGGTTACAAAGTAGTTCTTAGCTAGGCTACCAGCCGGGCCGCCCGGGTCACCCTATTTTCCCGGGCGATCTGGCCGTGCAAGGACAAGGGTAGGTCCTAGCCAAAAAAAATAAAAAAATAAAAAAATCCAAAAAAACAACTATGTTATGCAAAAAAATAAACTGAACAACTTTTGCCTCAGGGTCACATCGAAATTCTTTACCAACTTTAAAATAAAAATATAAATTAAAAAATAATTTTATTTTTTTTATTTTTTATTTCTTTTTGGCCCGGCTGGGCAAGTGAACCGGGCCATTCTGGTAGACTAAGTTCTTAGGGGATCAGGCATTGCTCTCGCAAAGTTATTCAGAATCTGAGTGGGGGTTAGACCGTGATCGAGATATTGCAATAGCTCATCCATGGTGGCGTTCAACATAGCGACACTCTTCCATTTCCGATCGGCTATATTGAGAATCAAGTGCTTAGCGCGTCGGGCCAGATTCTTGTCGTCGAATCTATCCTTTAGGGCCTTAAGGAAATCCTCTTTCCGAGTGCGCTTAGAGTATTCCACTGTGGACGAGCAGCCTGCCTCCTTCATCAGGGAGATGGCGAAATTGGCGGCATCCCCACCAAGGCACGAGCTCGCCATCAAGATACGGTCCCAATATGGAATCAATTGTGAACACAGATGCGTGCCCATATGCACTTCCCATTGGGAAAAGTTCTCTTCTCTCTTCCCATTGTACGTCCAGGGAAGCTTCACCTTCATCTTCTCTCTCCTTTCTTCCACCTTTCTGTCCCCCTCCTTCTTCGGGCCTCCGTCGCCGTCATCTCCACCATCTCCACCTCCACCACCGCCACCCTTCTTGACTGCAGCGACAGTATCCACTAACTTTGAGGTGACGATGCCTTCCAATTGCTGTGCATAACCCCCAACACGCTCATCTATTCGGTGGGCAGCGCCACTTAGGTAGTTGTTCGAAGTGTCTTTGAACTCATGATTGGGCTATTCGAGTCGGGCAACAGACCTGTTTATGGCAGCAAGTTCCTGGTTACAATGGTTAGTATGTAGCAGGGCATTCATCACGAAGGTACGGTTGTCTTTCCACTCACCCTCACGGCCTTTCTGTTCCGTCAGCTAGCGTTCAATTTCTTTCCCCTCAGCTTTCAATCTCCTCTTCTCATCCAGCTCCACCTTTTTCTTTATCAGAAGCCGCTAATGCGATTCGCATTCCCTCTCCTGCATCAGCAGTTCCGTTTCTGCGTCGTCGTCCTCAGCCTCCAACTTAGCTATGAGTTCGGCCCTCTCGGCCTCCGACTCTTCTGCCCACTCATCCTTCCTGAACCCAAACTTCTCCATCCATGTTTCGGTGTCAACTGGGTAGAAATGCAGCTGATTGGACTCTTCCCTTTCGGTTCGCATACCTCCTCCAACCCTATGTCTGGGGTCGTCCAACCTCACTTCCTCTTCTTATTCTTCTTTTTCTTCCTCTTCTTCTTCTTCTTCTTCTACCACTTCAACTTGTTATTTCTGTTTCTCCATCGTTTTGAGCTTCTCCTCCAATTCCCTTCTCTCCTTCTCCAATCTCTCTTTCTTCTTCCTCTTCTCCTCCCATTTTTCCTCCTTCTCCTTCTTCTTCTCTACCATTCTTCTATCAATCTCGGCCTGCTGTTTCAACGGAGTATGGCTGCGTTGTCGAGCGCATCGGCCCGGCACCACTCAGAAGTAGCGCAGGACCCTCCCGGCCACGTCACGCAGGAGTCAGAGTACACATCCCGTTGTGGTACATACACGGAGCCTCCATAAGCCGCTCTGGCCGGGTGCGCCAGCCATACCTCTCGCGAGCCCCTACGACAGGACAGGGCCTACGCGAGGCACGACTACCTCCCCCTTACGGGAGCTGTCACCTCCCTTCGGTGGGCGTATCCCCGCCGAGCTACCAGTCCACAGTACGAAAGCTNCTTACGGGAGCTGTCACCTCCCTTCGGTGGGCGTATCCCCGCCGAGCTACCAGTCCACAGTACGAAAGCTGATCAGTTGCAATCGCAGAGGTGGACCAGCCGAGGGCGTTTCTCGTTCGCTGTAGCATAAGGGGTACGCGCGGTACTACGCCTCTATCGGACCCGCACGCGAACCGACATCTGGGGGGGCTGASGTMCCAAGCGCGGCTCGTCGCCGGTCGACTAGGACGTATCCCACACGCCACGCGCACACCACTATAAGGTACATAAAAGTAAAGCACACGCACACATGCACACAAGTACTGAACRACGCAAAGGACGTACAACGCGACACACTCCTAGCCYCTTAGTATCCAACCCATGACTTTGCGCAGTGGAAGTCGGTAACTGCCGTACGCGAGGTTTAGTATAAGATCGCTCGAACGTAGGATCCACGCATACCAATTCACTATGCAGCTCTACGTGAGTAACTGCGATGACGGCGCATTATGTGGTGCCCATACCCAAATGGCCTATTCTGAGTCATGCGGTTGCTTCCGATGCTCAGGCGTCGGCTGAAGTGCGCGCTACGGGGGGGGGGTAACCCTTTAGCGGGCGCAAAACCGGCCTGAGGGCTTTACCGCCTTCTGCACCCTGAGGTATCCCAAAGGGTGCGGGGTAAGACGGTCCCTAGGGCAGGAAGGGATTTGGAGCGGTGGTCAGTTGTCTGGAGTATCACCAGCGACACGCTGACCCTTCCGCCCGAAATCGTTCCACCAAAACAAATCCCAACAAGGAAAGTACCTTCGACTTTTATCGGAAGTGGACCTTTTCAGAGCTAGTCCTGGGACCTGGGTCGTCCTGGGYGAGGACCTTCGTATTCTAGGCTCAGGGCTAACGTCCGACCACAATTTCCTCAGAAGCGTATATATAAATAGAGGGGTCATTCCTCTTCTGCTAGCCCCCTATTCCCAATTAAGCCCTCAATATGCGGGTTCTTTAGGCCACTCAAGTATCCCACATAGGTACGCATTATGCACATATAAACACACATGGGAATAAACATGTGACGATCACATCTCACAGTCATAGTGGGTCTCCTCATGAACATATATAAGATCGCAGGGCAGTCCAATCCAATAATCCCAGTCACAGA